TGCTAATGCTGATGATGCTGCTGATAATGATGCTGATCTTGCTGCTGCTGATGATGCTGCTGATGCTGATGATTACGATGACGACCATGATGATGCTGCTGATGCCGATGATGATGCTGAGGATTCAGATCATGGTGGTGCTGGTGATGCTGCTGTTGGTTATGACGGTGATGTTGCTGCTGATGATAGTGCTGATGATGATGAGGACGGTTGTGGTGGCGATGCGGCTGTTGCGCTGCTGAGTTTTGAGTCACTATGCTGCTGCTGATGTAGACGACGCCGATGACGATGATGTCGATGATGACGACGATGATGATACTGATGATGCTGATGATGATGTTGATGATGTTGATGATGTTGATGATGTTGATGATGTTAATGGTGATGGCGATGCTTCGGCCGGCGACGACGACGACGAGGAGGAGGAGGAGGAGGGGGAGGAGGGGGGAGGAGGAGAAGGAGGAAGATGAGGAGTAGAAGCAAGAGCAGGAGGATGAGCAGTTGTTGTTGTGATTGTGGTTGTTGTTGTTATTGTTGCTGTTGAATTTGTTCTTGTTGTTGTGGTTGTGGTTGTTGTTGATATTGTTGCTGTTGTTGCTGCTGTTGTTGTTATGATTTTTGTGTGTTGTTGAACTGTCATCATTGCATATTAATTGTTGTTGATGCCCCCCTCCAGTAACATATGTGTTTTTTCAATTGAAGTGCCACTCCAAGGGCTCGCACCCTGTTTTTTGCCATGGGAAAATTCCTCAAGCTGCGCCCCTGTACCCCGGTTTACAACAACAGCGGCTCCCGCTTGATGTTTCCTCACCATTTACTGAGGAATCGCGCTCTCGCTAGGGACATCCTTGCCATTTATCCTAGGATCGCGTTCTCGTCTGTGAATCTCTCGCAATTTTATTGAGGCACCACGCCTTCGCCATTCAGGAATCGCGCTCTCGCTCAGGACTTCTTCATAATTTACTTAGGAATCGCGCTCTCGCCCGAGACTTCCGGGCGAATTCTGCAGGACTCACGCATTCGGGTAACATATTTGTTTTTCAAGTTAGGGGCCCCTCCCGAGGCTCGCTGTGTTTTTACCGGGGAAAGCCTTCCTGCTCAAACTGTGCCCCTGGCCCCTGGTTTACAACAACAACGGCTCCCGCCTGATATTTGCCCACAATTTATTCCCAAATCGCGCTCTCGCGAGGGACTTCCTCATCATTTTATGCAGGAATCACGCTTTCGCGTGGGACATCCTTGCTTTGTACTCAGACGCCACGCCCTCGACCCTCAGGAATAACGCTCTCGCTGGGGATTTCGAGACTTCCTCGCGACTCATGCAGGACACACGCTTCAGCAACCCGCCTGCTCGGCCTGGCCGTCTAGGCCCGCCTTCCCGACACGCCCGTTAGGGTCTACCTTCCCGATCTGCTTGTCTGGTCCTGCCACGTGTTTTCTGCTCCTAGCCCCCCTCCTGCTGTTTTCTCTCGCGCTCCATCTTCCTCGATCCCCCTTGTCCCTTCCTTTCATCCGCCTCTCTTTTCCTGTTGGGGGCTGCACTTAAGACACACGTTGCAGGTAAGAAAGATACACCTCGAAGGGGGTACGATCGAAGACGAAGAGGGCGGGTATCGAGGGTTTGGGATATACGTTTTGAGTGGCACGCGAGCAGGGAAGAGCGATGAATGATTGTTGTTGTTGTTGTCGTCGTCGTCGTCGTCGTCGTCGTCGTCGTCGTCGTCGTCGTGGTCGTCGTCGTGGTCGTCGTCGTCGGCGTCGCCGTCGTCGTCGTCGTCGTCGTTGGCGCCGTCGTCGTCGTCGCCGTCGTCGTCGTCGTCGTCGTCGTCGTCGTCGTCGTCGTCGTAGTTGTCGTCGTCGTTGTCGCCGTCGTCGTCGTCGTCGTCGTCGTCGTCGTCGTCGTCGTATGCCGATTCCGGCCAGCCGGATCCGATTCGCTTCCGATTTCCCTTAGATCGGACGCGGCCAGATACTTGCGTGGCGCCGGTGTGCACTCTGGTGCAGCCGGTGCGATGCGATCTGGACCCCGTGCTGATGCGGCCCGAGCCGACGCAAAGTCCGATTCGATCGGCTTTCCTGATTCGATGCCGACCGTTCCTTCCTGATGACGGGTCCACGCGGGCGGGCTCGCATGGCAAATCAGCGGTCGACGCCTTCCAGGTCAGCATGACCACGGTCGGGGACTCTGTCTCTGCGTGGCGCTCCGCGGGGTCGGGCCCACCACGCCTCGGCGCGCCGCGCGTCGAGATCGTCCACGCCCCCATTCCGCAGGCTCCCACGTCCCGAGCTCTCCCGAGCCTCCCGCCGCGCGGCGTGGAGCAGCCTGCTATCCGCTTGCAGGGCACAGCGTGTCGCCGAGGTCGCCGCCGCGACACGCCCAGCAGCAGTTCCTTCCCGTACCTGTTGCATCGCCGACGGTGCAAGAAGCGCCGCGGGAGCGCGGACTTGTCGCGCATCGGGTGCGGAAGACCGCAGTGTCACCTTCGCCTCGGCGCCGTGCAAGTTGGCTCGAGCCTTCCGCGCTCCCGCCAGGCCCTGGCGCGCGACTCTTGTTCGCCGCAAGGCCATCGTCGTAACCAGCGCCGTGCCCGTGCTCGATGAGGATGCAAGGGCCTTGGAAGGCCATGTCGGCACTTTGCAAGCGGGGTGCGGCTGGCGCAAGTGCCAAGGATGGGTTAGAGGGGAAGGATGCAAGGGTACTCTTGGAAAGTCGCTCATTCTTGCTATGCGGGTTGACTGTATTCGTGAATCGTGGTCTCGCATCAGTGCTGGCTACTCTGTTGATCCAGACGGTCACGATTCCTGGCAGAACAGTGCACTCGGGAACACATGGCCGTGTTCTTACCCCGTCCCTGACAGGGACGAACGAAAACACGGCATGAACATAAACTTTCGGAGGTCCGTGCGGACCTCCGAAAGTTTATGCAGTTCTTGTTCCTCTACTGTAGCCGGCCTCGTACTCCTCAAACCGCTTCTTCACAGTTGCTGTTATTAGGTTGCTTTGCTGAGGTAATCCGATCGGTCACCACTGGGTCTTTGGCTGCAGCGCAGTCCGCCGAGCGGCCCAGAGGGGAGCCACCCGCATCTGCCCAGCTCCAGTGCTCCTGTGGCTTGCTGCAGAGGCAAGGGTCGACTACACGTAAGAGCGACCCTTCGCCGGAGTGACCTTTGGTGCTAGCCCATTGGGGTCCCCCGATTGCCGACAGCATCGGCTTGCGCGCTTTGTTTTTGCCCCCTCCCCCCCCTCCCCCCTCTCTCCCCCCCCAGCGCGCAGCGTAACGCCGCGCCTCAGAGGTCACTGCACGCATCAGAAGTCTTCAGAGGCAGCATGAGTGTCTGTTCAGCCTAGAATATCCTGGCCCATTGTCTTGGTCGGAAACTTTTTGAGCTCTGAGCAGGTCGGCAACTGGTATCCGTCTCGTGATGCAAATCTGAGGAGGAGGAGGAGGAGGAGGAGGAGGAGGAGGAGGAGGAGGAGGAGGAGGGGGAGGAGGAGGAGGATGCGGAGAGGACGAGAGGGGGAGGATGAGGAGGAGGAGGAGGAGGAGGAGGGGGAGGGGAAGGGGGAGGGGGAGGGGGAGGGGGAGGAGAGGAGGAGGAGAGGAGGAGGGGGAGGAGGAGGAGGAGGGAGGGGAAGAGGAGGAGGAGGAGGAGGAGGAGAGAGGAGGAGGAGAGGAGGAGGGAGAAGGGAAGGGGAAGGCCCTCCCCTTCCCCTTCCCTTCTCCTCCTCTTCCTCCTACTCCTCCTCTTCCTTCCCTCCACCTCCTCCTCCTCCTGCTCCTGCTCCTCTCTCCTCCTCCTCCTCCTCCTTCCTCCTCCTCCTCCTCCCCCTCCTCCTCCTCCTCCTCCTCCTCTCCTCCCTCCTCCCTCCTCCCCCTCTCCCTCCCCCTCCCCCTTCCCCTCCCCCTCCTCCTCCTCCTCCTGCTCCTCCTCCTCCTCTGCCTCCTCCTCCTCCTCCTCCTCCCTCTGCTCCTGGCGCCTTCCTGCTTCAAGGATCGGCGTGGTGTCGATGTGTATTCGTTGTTCTCTGGGAGGGCCTGGGCCCAATCTGCTTGATCCGCCTTCCTGCTTCACGCTGGCCATTCGCTTTTCGGTGCCCCTGTTTAGCTCTATCGCTGGTGCAGCCATTTTGCGTAGCCGCCGACGAAAAGGTGTTGACCTACTTCTTCCGACCGGCGTGTATATGAGAGGTCCTAGATGGGGCGAGGACCATGTGTGTGTGGATACCATTGCCGCGGCCATGGCGCCCCCCCTCTGCTCCCTTCAATGCGTTCCCTGGCCTCCCCTTGTCTGCACACGTGCCACATGCTTCGGGTCATGATGCGCTAGCCCCCTCTCGCTGCCCCCCCGCCCTCACCCGAGTTGTGTGTGAGAACGTGTGCCACGCGGTGGAGTCCGCTGGCTCATTCGAGCTGGCCAGCTTGGCTCGCATCCCTGCTCTGCTTACATTCGGGGCCCTGAAGAAGGAACCCTTTTTGTTGGGGAGGGGCTCCGTGTTCCTTAGTTGCTTTGCAGTGCTCCTCGGGTTTTCCTGAGGTTTTCCATGGAACATCGGAGTTTAACTTATGGAAAAAATGGGCCTCGTTCCTTATTGATCGTTCCTTTCAGGTCAACTCCCCGACGGTAACCCGTCTATGCTCCGACATCCTCTGCTTTCGCCACGGTAGGGGTCCTACGTGGGCCTGTCCCTCCTGCCCATCATGAGCCATCCACAGTCGACGCCTTCCCCTTAAACATCGGTTCCTGCCCTTACTCCGTACTCTGGACTCCTCTTTCAATTGTGCTCCCACCTCCCAGATCTATACTCCCTGCTCTCTACTCCCGACCCTCTGCTTCATAGTCCTTACTCCCTATTCCTTGCCCTCCTCTCCGTACTCCCTGCTCCCTGCTTTGGCATCCTGCTCTCGACTCCCAGTTTTTTCCGTACTCCTGGGTCTCTAATCCCTGATCTCTGCCACCTGCTCTCTTCTTCCTATTCTCTGCTCACCAGCTCCTCCGAGGTCTCTACGTTAATCCGCTCAGCGACGTGCTGGACCTCGCTCCCATGAGCTGGAACCGCGTGCTGCTGTGCCTCATCCCGATAGCTCTTCTGGTGATGATGTCCGAGGTCATCAAGTGCCAGCGCCTCAGTGGCTCCTGGATGACGAGGATGAGCAGGGCGAGGGCATATTTTCACAACGCACATAAGTATATATACACATATGATATACATTAGTTGAATATATCTATCTATCTATAGATACACACATCGAGCAAATCAGCAAAGAGAGACATGAGTGGATGGATGTAGGACGGACGGATGAGGAGTAGGAGGGTGGGGAGGAGGAGGAGGAGGAGGAGGAGGAGGAGGAAGAGGAGGAGGAGGAGGAGGAGGAGGAGGAGGAGCAGCAGCAGCAGCAGCAAACATATCAAGAAACGGTGAGAAGACCACGTCGGCCGTGACTCGCTGCCCGCCCGAGACGGCTCGGTGCGTAGGGTGGCAGGGTCCCCTGAAGCCTTCACCGTTATTTCAGGTTCCTCGGCCAGGACATCCACTAACAACCCTGCCGAATCGAGTGGCATGCGCAACTGGACTGTGCGAATGCGATCAGCCCAGGGCGGGTGGACACAAGGTCCCATGGAGTTTATGGGGCACACGACCCCACCTCCCGACCAAATGCGCAATCCCCATGCCTGGTACCCATCTCCTGGCCACGGGCGCATCTACGGCGCCACATTCGGACAAGCAAGCTGCTTGCCGCTGGTTCCAAAAAGCTAGACCCGGTTGCTTCTCTCCTTGCCTGCTGCAGCGGGCAGCCCTGATAGTCTGCCCCGTACGTGAAGATTGAGTACCAGGATGCGGTACCCAGTGCCCACGCGTGGGGCAGGATGAGGAGAAGGCGGAGGAGGAGGAGCAGGAGGAGGAGGAGGAGGAGGAGGAGGAGGAGGAGGAGAAGGAGGAGGAGGAGGAAGAGGAGGAGGAGGAGGAGGAGAAGGAGGGGGAGACGGAGAAGCAGAGGGAGCAGGAGCAGGTGGAGGAGAAGGAGGAGGAAAAGGAAACCAGATCACGAGGAGGATATATGATGAGCATGAGGAGGAGGAGAAGGAGGAGGAGGAGGAGCAGTGTAAACCCAAGAGTCGTCAACGATGTTGGAATACACCCTCCTTCGAAGCTCCCTCTTCGGAGACTCCTACAACGGTTCATTTCCATTGAAGGAACTGCCTCTTTGGAAGACAACCGTTTGAAGACCCTGAAGAATTCCAGAACATTGTTCTCGGGATTCCAACGCCACGGATCAACCTGACTGTTGCGTCTTGACAATCCTGAATCGTAACAGAACGCCATTCCTGGGATTTCAACACAACGAACCAACATAACTGTTGCACCAGCATAACCCTGAATCTTATATATATATATATCTATATTTTTATATATATATATAAAAACCATTTCTGGCACGTTGATCATGGGAACCCGTGGAACCCAGATCAGTTCTTAAAACGAGTGTGCACCGCGCTAAGTCGCGAGCCACATTTTGAAAACTACCCGCCTTCAATCCGCGAAACTCTTGTAGATTTTGAAGACGAATGTGCGCCGCGCTAAGGCGAGAGCCACATTTTGAAAGCGACCCGCCTTCAATCTTCGAAACTCTTGACATTTTGAAAACGGCCCGCCCTCAATTCGCGAAGCTCCACGCAGTTTTTCAAAACAAAAGTGCGCCGCGCTAAGGCGAGAGCCACATTTTGAAAACGACCCGCCCTCCATCCGTGAAACTCCTTGCAGTTTTTTAATCTGCGCCGCGCTATGGCGAGAGCCACATTTTGAAAACCACCCGCCCTCCATCTGTGAAACGGTTGCCAATTTTTAAGCTTCAGAGTCATTAGTGGTGAGGAAGTCCCAAGCGAAACGCCCAGCCCGCCCTAAAATTGGCCTCGGGGTGCGACAGTGAGAAGTTATTTATAAGGAAAAGGAATGGAGGAGGAGGAGAAGGAGCAGGAGGAGGAGGAGCAGGAGGAGAAGGAGGACTGCTGGAAAGGAAAGAAAGGTAAAGGGTGGAAGAAAGGAGGAGGATGGAGGGAGGGAGGGAAAGAGACCGGAGGGAGGGACGGGGGGAGGAGAAGGAGGAGGAGGAGAAAGGAAAGAGGAGGAATGATGGAGGCAAGCGAGGGAGGGAGGGAGGAGGTGATTCAACGAAGCCAAAGCGGGGAGGTTTGCGATGTTACATTTGTGTGTTAGAGTATAGAGAGGGACAGAGAGAGAAAGAGAGATAGAGAGAGAGAGAGAGAGCCAGAGAGAGATAGAGAGACGATGCTGATGAGGAGAAGGCGGAGGCGGAGGAGGAGGAGGAGGAGAAAGAAGAAGAGGAGGAGAGGAGAGGATAGGAGCGGAGATGAGAGGAGAGGAGTTGAGAGGAGAGGGCAGGAGGAGACGGACTGTTAGGAAGGTGGCGAGGATGATCATAATGATGCTGCTGCTGCTGATGATGATGCTGGTTATGATGATGATGCTGCTAAAGATGATGCTGCTGCTGATGATGGCGATGATGAAGTGGATGGTGATTATGATGATGCTGATGATGAAGATGAGGATGAGGATGATGATGATGATGATGATGATGATGATGATGATGCTGATGATGATGATGATGATGATTATTTTTGTGACGATGCTGCTGCTGCTGATGATAATGATGCTGATGCTGCTGCTGGTGGTGGAGGTGGTGATGATGAGGATGATGGTGAGGATGATGATGAGGGTGATGATGCTGCTGATGATGACGATGATGCCGATGATGATGCGGATGATGACGACGACGATGATGCTGCTGATGATGATGTTGATGATGATGATACTGGTAATGATGATGATGGTAATGATGGTGTTGATGCTAATGACGACGATGGTGATGCTGATGATGTTGTTGTTGATGCTGATTGTGAGTATGATTACGATGATGCTGATACTGATGTTGATGCTAATGCTGATGCTGATTATGATGATGATGTTGGTGTTGATGATGCTGATGATGCTGATGATGCTGATGCTGGTGGTGATGATGCTGCTGATGATGCTGCTGATGATGATGAGGATGAGGAGGAGGAGGGGAAGGAGGAGTAGGAGGAGGAGGAGGAGGAGGAGGAGGAGGAGGAGGAGGAGGAGGGGGAGAATGATGATGAGGGAGAGGAGTAGGATTGAGAGGGAGGGAGGGAGGGAGAGGAGAAGGAGTACAGCACATATCATGAAGTGTATGAGATGGGGATGGAGAGGAGCGCTTGCAGCCGGCCCTGCAGCTGGGGTGGCGATCGCGGGTTCTGGCGGGGTCAAGCAGCCAGTCGACGACGACGACGACGACGACGGCGGCGGTGGCGGCGGCGGCGGCGGTGCCAGCGACTGGGTTGGTTGGGCATCTCGACCTCGAGCTGCAGGCAAGCTACATCGCCGACGAAGTGTCAGCTCCCACTCAGGATTGCTGGGATCAAGTCTCTACAGTACAGTGGAGGCCAGTCCACAAGAAACCTTCCACACGAAACCCAGCCCTGAGACCCCAGGACGTCCACTGGTTTTTGGTGTGGGAACGTTACGTTTTCCGTCGCAAAACCATCAAAACCCAAGAAATCCAAGGCACCCTGGAGGCAAGCAGGGTGCTTCTTGGCATGGGCCTCTACTGTTCCCGGGCATCTGGGACCAGGCCTGTCACGGCTCGAAACCTGTAGCAGTCCTGCAGCTCTTGAGTCTCCCTGGGTTGGTCGGCAGCGGCGGCGGCGGCGACGACGGGCGGCGGCGACGGCAGGCGGCGGCGGCGAGCGGCGGCGGCGGCGGCGGCGGCGACGGGTGGCGGCCGCTGCCGCGGGCCCGCGCCCGCCGCGTGGCAGCGGCCGGGCGTCTGCCGAGGCGAGTACAGGCGCGCGCGCGGCCTCTTGTGTGTTTGTCTGGGGAGGAGGATAGGAGGAGGAGGAGGAGGAGGAGGAGGAGGAGGAGGAGGAGGAGGGAGGCGGAGGAGGAGGAGGAGGAGGAGGAAGAGGAGGAGGAGGAGTGAGGACTTGAGGAGGAGGCGGAGGAGGCGGAGGAGGAGGAGGAGGAGGCGGAGGAGTAGTCGTAGTAGTTAGTAGTAGCTAGTAGTTAGTAGTAGTAGAAGAAAGTCAGATCGAGTAGTAGTAGTAGTAGTATAGTAGTAGTAGTCGTAGTCGTAGTCGTAGTCGTTAGTCGTGTCGTCGTAGTAGTAGTAGTAGTAGTAGTAGCAGTAGAAGTAGTAGTATAGTAGTAGTAGTAGTAGTAGCAGTAGCGTAGTAGGTCGTAGTAGTAGTAGTATTAGTGTGTAGTAGTAGTAGTAGAGTAGTAGTAGTAAGTAGTAAGTAGTAGTAGTAAGTATAAAGTAGTAAGTAGGAAGTAGTAAGTAGTAAGTAGTAAAGTAGTAAGTAGTAAGTAGTAAGTAGTAGGTAGTAGTAGAGTCCGTAGTAGTAGTAGAGTAGTGGGTAGTAGTATAGTAGTAGAGTAAGTATTAAATAGTAGTAGCATTAGTAGAGTAGCCGTAGTAGTAGTAGTAGGTAGTGTCGTAGTAGTAGTAGTAGTAGTAGTAGTAGTAGTAGTTAGTAGTAGTAGTAATAGTAGTGCAGTAGCAGTAGCAGTAGCAGTAGTAGTTAGTAGTGGATAGTAGTTAGTAGTAGTTGTAGTATAGTAGTAGTAGTAGCCGTAGTCGTAGTTCGTAGTCGTAGTAGTAGTACTAGTAGTAGTAGTAGTAGTAGTAGTAGTAGTAGTAGTAGTAGTGTTAGTAGTAGTCGTGGTCGTAGGAATGATAATAGTAGTCGTATTAGTAATGCTAGTAGTAGTATTAGTAGTAGTAGTAGTAGTAGTAGTAGTAGTAGTAGTAGTATTGGTCGTCGAAGTAGTAGTAGTAGTAGTAGTAGTCCTAGTCGTAGTCGTAGTCGTAGTGGCAGTAATCGTAGTAGTCGTAGTCGTGGTAGTAGCAGTAGTCGTCGTAGTGGTAGTAGTGGTAGTAGTGGTAGTCGTCGTAGTAGTAGTAGTAGTAGTAGTAGTAGTAGTAGTAGTAGAAGTAGAAGTAATGGTGGTGGTCGTAGCAGTAGTAGTAGTAGTAGTAGTAGTAGTAGTAGTAGTAGTAGTCGTGGTAGCAGGAATGATAC